ATATTAAAAGCTAGCAAAATGGATATTTACAATGATAATTTATAGTAGGTTAAATATTTTGGATTTCTCCTATAACAGCGTATATTCTAAATCTCACATAAACTGTGATAAAAATACTTTTAGAGAAAACTTTGTGCTAGTAACGTTGAAGTACATTCCAGCTAGTTCAACACCAATGATTTCCATTTTATTTTTAATAGTTTTATTCAGACTCATTTCGAGTAAGGAAATGTAATGTATTTTCCTCTAGTGCATAACGTTAAGATTACTCTAAAACGTACCCAAAGACGAGCCACAAAACAGTCCGACGGCTCAAGTACTTAACTATAAGGGACCCAGTAGTGATGTTGTTATGGCTTATGGCTTCCTAAACATACTTGAGCACCCTCTAAAATGCTTACTTATGGCCAGTTTCAATACGAAACCTAGAGACAACAACCAGAAATTGAAGATAGATCTCAGCAAACTAAGGTGTATGAAAACCTTTTCTTTACGGACAGTCATGTCTTGGAGTTCGCTATTAGCTGAGATGGTACAAGCAACTCTCAGAAATGCTTCATGAGGGAACTTGATATACTCCTAGGAACTCAGGTCTTTCTTTGTCAGATCGGCAGACTAAATTGTGTAGGAGGCTACATTATTATGCACTTGGAAAGCACCTGAACCATGTGAGCTGTAGAGAGAGTGACACACGACTCAAGGCCGTATGAATTTGTGAGGCACCAGCTGAAATACGATAAGCAGGATGTGGAATAAGTCGTGGTTTGCCGTAGTCTTTGTTACTGGAAAAGTGAAGATATTTAGCTGATTAGAAACCTTTATATCGAATATTATTGATTTCACTGTGTTTTTGAATGTATTTCTTTTAATCAACCTTTGAGCTTCTTTATTTATATGATTATTTTCGGACATTTTGGTTTCTCTTTGTCTTTGGTTTTCTATTTGAGAGTTTTTTCGCTTTGTAATTGTTATAATTATTTTGGAATAGCATTTAAGTCGACTTCGTAAATTGGGATTGAAATTTGGTGCCTAAATTGGAGCTCGGTTCTATCGTTACTTTGGGTTCGTAAGTTGCAAGTAAATCGATATGCCGTACATCAATAGCGGAAGCGAGCAAAATCTTGAACGTGGCAGTCTTGCATGTGTATACGAAGACGCCCTCTTAAATATCCTAAAATCCTGATCAAGGTGAATAAGCCTCAACGAACTCAACTTCAATACACAAGATCGCCAGTAATACTGGCTAACAACTCATTGATACAAACGTCAGTCGCCCTAACTTTGTTTCGGTACACTGCAGGTCCCGCTAGATAAGATATACAACACATTTATTCTATTCTTTATTTAGTTCTCACCCACGGTGATATTAGTCAAAAAAGTCCCTTTCAACATCTGGGAGAAGCCATCATGAAGCTAACTCGCTATTATTAGTATTACTATTATTATTTCTATCGTTCACAAACTGCTTTTTCTCATATAAGCGTTGATTGCTGCCATGGTCTGTCAACCAGACGCGGTGACTCACCTGGTATATGAAGAGCATGTAAAAGCGATCAACCCTGAGGCGTTGGCTGAACGCTGAAAAGTGGATTTAGGTGCATCAGTGGAAGAGGCATGCAGTCACTTTTAGAGGCTGTGTGACGAAGTTGCTCAGCGGTCCCGAGAAAGAAAGACGCACTCATCCTCGAGAGACCGTGAGATTTAACGCCCACTTAGGCAAAAGAAAAGGCACCGGAATGACTCCAGTAGCTTCTGGACAGAAAGTACGGTGGAATGTTACTGGTCGGTTCGAAATCGTAGAAGTATAAACTATGCGACTGAAAAGAAATATGAAAATAAATTGCCGCAGTCTGTGATGGAGCAACTAAGGCGGTTAGTTTCATGGATCGACTACAGAACAAAAACACACCCATAGATTCCAAGTTTAATTACTGAAAAGAGTGTCTCTCAAACCATAGAGAAAAGCCAGGGCAAAGTAGAAGTCATGTTAGATTACTTCAATTCAGTCCTAACTCATGAGCCTTCTCTAACCCAAGAACTCACCCGAGAGCGAATATCACTTAATTGGCCACTCACTACGGACGTACTATTGGCACCAAGCACTTCAGACAGAAAAATCGACATGATGTGGTCAACTACACCCAGACATTGTAAAATAAATTACACTAACCTGCAAACTACGTTATCCTAGATTTTGTTTGATCAGATGTTACCTAGAGACTGTGAGGAGGCAACTCTCACACTAAATAACTTTCATCAAACCACGATCTCATCAGTCTCACATCTTTCGCAGTAAATACTATGCCATTACGTCTTTGAGGAAACCAGCAACTTACAAAACAGTGAACAACATGGCTTCAGGAAAGGATTATGTTGCACCGCTTACCTCTTTATAGCAAGAAATTTTTGACAGATTCTAGTGATAACGGGAAATAAGCTGATATTGTCAAAATTGACATAAGCCAAGTATTTGATAAGGTTCTACAAAACAGTCTTCTTTCGAAGCTGGAAACTTCATAAATTACCGGACCTCTTCTAAAGTGAACCAAAACTTTTCTGGTAGGTCATGAGCAGAAATTAGGCATAAATTTCAAATGTTTCTAGTGAAAACCAGTTCCTGTGGGAATACCACAAAGCCCTGTTCTGGCTCTCTTACTTTTTGTGCCACATGTAAATGTACTAATGAGTATCTCTGAGTTCCCAATGCTACTTTATTTTGATAACGTTGGGAGTTTGTGAGAAGTAATGTGGGAGGCAAGTGTACGTGCACACCCGGTGAACCTAGACGTTATGATTAGGTAGTCTAAAACATAGTTGAGGCCTATCATCAATGATAAGTGTATCTATATGCACACTGGAAATGCAACAATAATCAGCTACAGCGTTGAGGAATGTCAGTGTCCTTTTTCAAGTCTCGCAACACTTGGGAGAATAGTGAGTCAGGATCTTGAGACAACAGCACACTGTCTCGCGGTTGCAGCTAAGGGGTTCACAACCCTATGTGTTCATGTAGGTAGATGATTCTCTAAAACAGATAGCTCTGTTGACTTTCGAGATTGATCCTGGCCTCATTAGCTTTACCGGACGCACCCTAGCTGAATACGCTCGGTCACACAGCCTTACTAGATCATGAGTGGTCACGTCTAGCTAAGTATCCCCTACACCACTTAGCCGGCTTAGATCAAACGCTTCTCAACTTACTGACAACCTTTCAGATACATTCACCAATTCGTTCGTCCCTGACTTCCGATTAGATTGGATTGTTATCTTTAGATTATAAAGGTCTTACAGACAAAGGCGTTATCAAACTGTATAAAGACGGATGTTTATCAAGTTCGATACAAGTATGTTCACCACGACTATATAGCTTTAATGAGATTCACATTTAATAAGGGATTTCAGGCCGCAAGCTTCCATTTGAAAGGTGACTAGATGAGCTTGCAAAAAATTAGAGGATAGTTATCTATGTGATCACAGAATTCTGGAATTCACTTAACACAGGACGGCTTCGGAAGTCACAACTCTCTACTCTGTCCGTCCTCAGTTCATGAGGTGAACCGATTTTGACGTATAGAATACTTAAAGATGGTCATGACAGCTTGTAGGAAGTAATAAAGAATTTCAGAATTCAAAAATGGACAAAGTATCCGTGGTATACAAGTTTCACACTGAGCCATCGATTCTTGGAACTTGCTACCTGATGAAGTGGTGGCTGCACCTTTGGTTGACACTGGAAGCTAATAGAAGCTTACTAGAAAGTTGGTAACACAGGACGTTAGACTTCTGTTCTGGATACACACAAATTCCAACCTGGAAAAGATAATGATCATTAGGAGAAAACTGGGCTATAGAATTACAGGATGGTCGCAACTCAATAATGGCACAGATGGACGGATCGTCACTAGAAGTGAATTCTAACGAGTATGGTGATGCAATTAAATAACTATGATGACTTGTATCACTGCACAATACGTGGATTTATGTTACCCAAAGTAATGGACTATAAAGATTTAGGAGTCATATCAATATATCTTGTCTTTTCATTCCGTCTAGGACTGTCGTCCAGACATATAATGACTTAGGAGTCATCGTTAGCCAAGATTTAATGACTACTGCACACTGCCATGCAATGGCCGCCAAAGGTTTTAGAACGTTGTGGTCAATACGTAGGGCTTTTAGTCATGTCGACGCTAAGACGTTTTTGACTTTGTATACAGTGTTCGTACGTCCTAAACTTGAGTACTGCATACAAACGGCTAGCCCTCGCTTAAAAAAAGACAGTGAGCTTCTGTAAAAGGTTCAGAGAACGGCAACCAAACTGATTCCCGGAATAGCGAAGCTTCTGTATGAAGCTCGACTGGCCAAGCTGAACCTTTTCCCGTTGTCATATCGCAGAACTAGAGGCGACTTGATTACAGTTTTCAAATTGCTTAGTGCCAAATTTGCACCTGATATGCCCTCATTTTTCTTGTCTTCCAAAACAGAGAATTTACGGGGACACTCAAAAAAAGTTCACAAGCCAAGAACAAATTACTTGTCAGCTGACTATCGACTTTCCCATCGAATCATCAACGAGTGGAACCTATTACCTCAGCACGTGGTTGAGGCTCCATCCGTCGATTCTTTCAAAAGAAAGTTGGATCAACTGAGGGACCACCATTGCCAGGACTAACACAGGCAATCGGGCCTCCTGTCCTTCCCAAACTGAAACTGATGACTAGGAAAGTTCAACAACTGAAATCAAATAGTCTACGTCTGGAGTTCCGTTTCTCACACCAGGCGATGAGTTATTGGAATTCTCTACCAGAACACGTAATACCAGCACACTCCGTTATTATATTCAAAACGAGATTGGAGCCCCCCACAGTGTTACAGACTGCAACGATCAATATAGGTTGATAGACCTATCTTTATTACCGAAAACTGAAGGTCACTGCGCGTTGTTTGATCCCAAGTTTTCACGCTCATGATTTCGACATGCATAATCTGACATAAAGATTATGGGGAATTGTTTTGGATTTCGAAGTGAAAGTTCTTACCTTCTGGATCAAGAGGTTTACGAAACTCAAGATGATCAGGATGAAAGCCCTAGGACAGATGCAAGTCCATTGCTTACAATTATATCTCGTGTTATTATAGTTTAAACGACTAAAATATGCGGAAATCTTTCCTTAAGTCAGCCCTAAATTTCATCAAAAGATGATCAACGGAGATGATTCACACAATTATATATTCGATATCCGCTTTTATAGAAGGCGGCATGAACCAAGTGATCAGTCAATTCCTATCTAAATTCTTATCCGTAATGCTTAATTTTCTCGATTAGTACTAAGTGTATTAATGCCCCCATAAAAATATTGACGTAGGACTGCGGTGTGTTTCTTGCGTCCGATTTTTCCACATCCTATACAAGTATCAGATTCAAACTTAATCGTTAAGTACGAAGTCGCAAGTCTGTGTTAGCTATTCGCTGATATCTCTCTATAAGTATCTAGTATTATATGAATTTGAATTCACTAGAAAGTAGGTTCGGAGTTCTTATCACTCGTTGGTAAGACATGTATAACATGGGATTTCTGTTTGTTCTCAGGCTTTGAGCTTTCTGTAAATAAAAAAAGCTGAAAAATATCAGTAAACAAGAAGCAAATAGATACGAAATAGTAACATCTAACATATAGTCGAAAAGGAAAGGAATGGTCTATTGTACATGATGGGATGGATTGATTATTGTCTCATGGTATTACCAGTAAAAGCACATTCATCCCTTACGAGTTGGTGTTCTAGTTTTTACTTCAGTCAGTCAGTGATCTTGAGTGCTTTTAGAGGTATGAGGATGGTTATCATTCCCCGGCTGCCCCAACTGTGGAGGGGTTCTTCTAGAGATACCTAAAAAGAAAATTGTGTTAGGGGTGGTTTTAGTGACCTGAGAACGTGACCGCAGTGCCCAAGGGACAGCTGCTTGATGTCAGTCACACACGACCACTTTGTAAGTTATTTTCGTGTTAGCTCCGTACTTGTTGAGACCTTGCTGCCGGAGACGGATATCCATGGAATAAGGTTAGGTGTGCATTTTTGGGGTCGACCCTTTCTAACCGCACCCTTCCTTGTGGGAAGGCAGCGTCGCTATTATGCTGGTTGTCTGGAGGAGACACCTTACTGCTATCACACCTCTGTACAATCAGCAGTACGACTTCGGCCTCGGACCTTGGGTTCGCCACTTTTAGTCTTACAGCTCTTCAACCGACCTGTCTGACATGTTAAGACCTTGAGGAACGGTTGTTCCAGACAATGTAGCTCGATTAGTTGATAACAATAGGCAAGCCCGACCACCACGTCAATGTAGCTGCTATGGTCGGGAGTTTTCACTTCAGTGTCATCTAGTTAACGCACACAGTTACCATATTTCCTTTATATCTAACTTTGTTGTGTTCGTTTTTTTCTCATTGAAAATAACAGCATCAGGTGCCTATTTATCATTTAAGTCCAGGCTTGCCTATTCTTGCATCCGATCTGACAGAGGAGGAACAAATACAAATTGTTAAACGTATTCACATGCTTCAATTTCTTCCTCTAACAAATTATGTACCTGTGAATAAGGAGAAATTAAGAGAGTAAGAAAATTTATGTATATGTGCTTATCTCGCTTCTTGTTTTATTATCCATCTCAAGTACCTTTAGAAGTTGACACTTCCCACTTCTTCAATGCGGGTAGATAACTATTATTGAGAGGGCAGAAAATGGAACTGGATTAGCAGTAGTCTCGACGATTTGAAAGCGCAACTACATGGTCAGATGAATAACTGCCTAAGCCTGATGCCACTTAAACTTTTCGGAATAGTTTTCGGAGTGTCAGCTCCATAATCTTAAGGCCTCACGTCTATCGAAAAACGTCTGTAGAACAAGTTCAGGCGGACTACTTTTGGTACAGACACTTTGTCTAAAGGAAGTTACTGTCGTCACCCTCTTGTACAATCTGAAGTACAACTTCGCCATCCGACCTTGTCTTTGTTGCTTATGCTTCCCAACTATGATGCCTAGCGTGCTTGAAAATTTAAGAAACTAGTGCTTTGGCCAGTGTGACTCAACTGGGTTACAAATTTTCATTATTTTACGCTCCCACTTTTAACAGCAGCACAACAAGGAAGGCAATTAATACGATGAGAAACAAAGAGGTCGTAATAGCAGTATCATTGATGATAAAAAGCTAAAAATAAAAGTTAGAATGGAAGTAAAGAGGTAAAATTATTAAACATTAAGACACAAGATTTAGAAAAAACGATAACAATGTAAGCTGCAGCTATTACTCTGACAGCTATTACTCATCTCTGTGTGTTTATATGGTATGGGAAATTAAGTCGATGCACATGCATCCCAGGCTTATGTTTTTTAATAAAGGAATGACTGGTGTGATGTGTTCCAACTGAATTCGAGCTATCATCCAACATTTGCAGTAGTAGGTTAACAATTATCGTGCGAATATCGATTTATGAGTTCTGTGCCACCGCATATCACTTGTATTGAATCTAATTTTATATTACTTTATATAAATAACCGTTGACCTATATATATATAGTGTAATTAATTACTATTTTAGGTGTATTATATGCATGAATGATTTAAAACTTGGAGATGAAGTACGTTACCTGCCCTGTCTACATACTTATCATCGTATATGTATTGATGAATGGCTTATGCGTTCATTTAGTTGTCCTACATGCCTTTTAAATTTAGAACCAGATACTTCACTGACTACAACAACAACAACAGTAACGGCGCCAAGAACACAAATTCTGTTCTCATCAGAAAATACTGTTGCATTGACAGTGACGTGTGATTCATCCCCAACAACAAATAATACTACTAACCCTGTTATATCATCCACAGTAGTAGTATCTCCCGGATTTAATCAGTCATTAGCAAATGACTCTTGCCCAAATATCAACTGATACTCAATCAGTGTAATATCGATCATTGACACGCTTCAGTCATCTGTGATATATATATATATATATATATATGTATATGTAACTAAGATGTGTTTCTGTCACAATCTGTCTTCCATTTAAATTCATATCTTATTTGTTTCTGCATCTATATACTGTGCTATTGATGAACTCAACTTCAACTATCCATAACTGTAACAAATCAAGAATGTATAGATTATTATTTCTATCATTAATTGTTATTAATAATAACAATACTTAGTTCTACTGCATAATAATAATGTCATAAGCACTTTTATTTCTTCATATATATCTCATTATAGAAATTTTCATTGAATTCCTTAATCAAATTGTGTTGATTGTCATGCATCTCTATATGAGTAATACAAATTCATGCTCAATTCTTAATATTTTATCAAAGCTTTACATTTCAATTGGACATATTCACTAGTCATATGTGTACCACCAATATTCACCATAGTCTTTATGTTCTTTCTTTTTTTTCTTTTTAATTTATGTAATTTTTTTCTTTTACTTTATTGTTGTTGTTGTTGTTGTTGTTCTTATTGTTGCTCATTTTGTTTTCATCTCTAATGATTCCGCCTGGAACCCCTCTGAGGCTAAGATAATAATAGTAATCATTATTATTATTAATATATTAAGTAATATATGTATATATATATTGTTTATTTCTCTTTAAATCAATGTTTTGTTAGTTTACTTTTAATTTCCTTATTCACTATATCCCTTTTCTTTTCTTCTTTCCAAATTTATTTCATTGTATTATACTCCTTGAATAACATCCTCAAATCTTAATGTTTCCGATTACTGCTTATACTCTCACTACCTATTGCACTATGGGATTTGAATCGACAACTGCATCTATGTTGTAATGTGGTGTGGCAACTCGAATTGATGTACGTACGAAGTTCTACGTTGTTACTGACTGACTGATTGACTTATGTTGTAATGTTTTATATGTACAATAACAATAGTCTTAAATATGATAACAATTACATTTAGTATCATTTAGTGAATTTATAAAGTTCCATTATTCCTCTTCCTATTGTATCTGTATGTATATATACATAAGTTTAAATGTTGTACTCTCCTGGTTTATCTTCTATTTTAATGTGATTGATTTTAAAGAGATTATTATTTTTCTTTTGGTTCTTCTTTAAAAGAAGCAGAATTATCTCATGTCTATCATAGCAGTTTTATATTGATAAAGTTTACATTTGATCCCTGTGATAATGATCTGTTTATTTCATTTGTCATTTTAAACAAAGAAACGATCATCATTAAACTGTAAATTGTAATTTATTTCAAGTGTTTGTCAATTATCCCTTTTCTTTGTGTGTGTGTGTGTATGTCGAGGGGGAGGGTTGTATGTGAAGAAGCGCCTTAAAAGATGACAAATAATAATGAAATGTTTTTTGTTTTGTTTTATAAACTGAATGTTTTGTTTGTTTGTTGTTGTTGCTGTTGTTGTTCTGTCTCATTATTTCCTATTTGAGTCATTACTTTGGTTAGTTACATAATTCCTTATCAACAAATTATAGGAAATTATGAGGTCCTCTTTTCTCTTCATTTTTTGGTAGTAGTAGTAGTAGTAGTGGTGGTGGTGGTAGGGGGGAAATATTCATTCAATCTTGTTGTGATATGTTTTTCTTTAAAAAAGAAGGGGCAAGATGTTCATTTATTTGATTATTTCATTCATTTTAAACAACAACAAAAAAACAAACAAAGCAATCATAATGTGTTGTATTCATTTTATGACATAATCGAAGTAATTCTCTTTGTATCCAAGTAACTACTTCTATGAATATAATGTTGTTTATTTTGTTGTGTTAATAAGATATGACAATTTACACCAATGCATATATGTGCTTGGTTCTATGTTTGTAGCTAACTGATTGACTTTGATATAGTTACTATATGAATTGTATAAAAGAAAGGTAATTATGTGTAATTTTAAAGTATTCAACATGATTCTTTTAGATTTCGTTGTTGTTTTGTGTGGGTTCTTGTCATTGTATTGTACTTACTTACTTACTTACACCTGTTACTCCTTGTGAAGGAGCATAGGCCACTCACCAGCATTCTCCATCCAACTCTGTTCTGGGCCATTGTATTGTAATCTGTATATATACAACTATGTATATGTTGATAAGTTTAACCGGATTATACTTTCTTTTGTGTATATATATATATATATATATATATATATATATGAACTTGACTGTTGTTTATTTTGTATGGAATAGTTGATTTCCAATGTTGTAGTAGTAGTAGTAGAAGTATGATAATTTTAATTTTATTGTGTTCTTTAATTTGGATAACTTAATTGATTATTCTGGCAAATATCATCAATGCTTAATTCATCATAAAAGAAAGCTCAACTAGTTCACTCTATGAATAACATACTCCCCTGTTTGATTATATTCTTCATAGATTTTGTTCTTTTCATTTATCTTTGCGCATTCCTAGTAACTATCTTCTTTGATATTGACCTATGGGTGTTTGAACAGTTAACGTTCTCTCCTTTTTTTTGTATACATTGATCAATTAGGCTTAGAATAATGTTTTGGACGTTAATCAATATTTAGCAATTGGGATTCATCTTGATTTTTATTTGTTTTCTTTATCGATACATATAAAACGGTTTATTTGGACAAGGCAGTTAAAAAGAAGTTTTTTTTGCATCATTGACAACAGTTTTGTAGACAAGTTCATGTAAATGTAAAAAATGATTTGTAAACATACTTGATTTGCGGAGATTGTTCAACTACTAATGTACATCATCATCATCATCATCAATTCACACTTACGGCTTATTCAAGGATCAAACGCATGTTATTCAGGCCGCATAATGAGTGGGATACCTTTAGATGTCCACACCGGTATCAGAAATGAGATAGATGTATCACTAAGGACAATGAATGGTGGTTGGTAATCGACTAAAATATGGGACGTAAACTATACAATAACAAGTGGACTTGAAATATTTATATTCTTGCGAGACTTTAAGGTCCTAAGTTTAATCCCTACTGAGGGTTCCCATGCTAGGATGAAATAAGTTGTCTGTTGTCCCTTTGATTTAAAGTAGTTGTGGAGAACAAACTCCATATTCTCAGCAAAAACTATTCTCCATCGTTTGTTAATTAGTTAATTGTAGTCAAGCGTCTTACCCTTAATATCCATTTGTTATGTAGAAAATTACTCCATATTCATTGACTTTTCTTCATAGTGTGGAACAGTATAATGAACGAGAACTGAGATGAGAAAAACTAATCTATTGTTTAGTACAAAGTTGCAGAGTTCTCTTATAAAATGTGACAACCATACGTTCGATGCTTCATTTACAAATCCTTCATCAACTCAAATTTCATCGTTCCATCATTATCATGAAAACGACTCTATATTCCCATTCTCTTCAATTCGATTTTCTCAACTTTCTACTGTTAGGCATTCCACTTCTAATTGGTGTTACATACTACTTATATCTGTCGATAGTTATAAGTAGCCTACATATTAGGATTGTTTCATTAGGATTTCTTTAAAGATGTACTTTTATTAATATTTCATTATTCAAATAGCTTAGGTCACGTTAGATAGAAGTAGTCGAATAGATAATTTATAAAGGTTAACTCATACATTGTTCTTGCATTTTCATACAAATTGCATTCTGTTTCTATTCTTTACTCCCGACCGAAGCTGCTACCTTGACGCGGTGGTCGGGCTTGCCTATCGTGATGACCCAACCGGGCTATATTGGCTGGAACATATGTTCCTGTAGGTTCTACCATGCCAGGCAGGTCGATTGGAGAACAGTAAGACTAAAAGCAGCAACTCTGAGGGCGAAGTCGTACTGCTTACTGTAGAGGGGTGTGACAGCAGTAAGGTGTTTCCCTCGGACAACCAGCATCTGCAGCGATGCTGCCTTCCCACAAGGAGGGGTGGGGTTAGAAAAGGTCAACCCTAAAAATGTCGCACCTCACCTTACCTCACGGATTTCCGTCTCCGGCGGTAAGGCCCTTCGAAGAACGGAGCTAACATTAAAAACCTTCCACGAAAGGGCCGTGCGCGACCGGCCTCAAGCAGTTGTCTCTTGGGCTCTGCGGTCACGCTCCCAGGTCGTTAAGACCATCACTAATCCGACTTTATCAGGTTCCTCAAGAAATACCCTTCCATGGTGTGGGCAGCCGGGAAGTGATATCAGCCCTCATACCCGTAACTGACTGACTATTCTTTACTGTTCGGTCCTCTTGTCTCTCTGCTGTCAGACAGTCTGTTCACGACTAACATCATCCACTAATTACGTCAATATAAGTAGCACAAACTACACATATATCAATATGTTCTATATTTAAGGGTAGAATTTCAATAATAAATGACAATATTTGATCAGACAATTTATAGTTACCATGCATTGTTTTTCATAATTATAGTAATAATAACAACAGTTTATAGTATGTACTTTGTTTAAGGTCAGTTTTAAATCATTTATATTACCACCATGGCTATATTTTTAATGTTATCCTACAATCATTATGATACAATTATAGTGAACTGTCCGGTTTTTTTTTCAAATATTTGTTTCTAATTTGCGTAAATACCCTTTTCTTAATCACTTGGTGATATGAATTAATGAAACTGTTAAGTGGTGGTGATCTAAACAACTATGTAATTTAGTTACTACTGTAGTCTAGTACTTAATATATATTCAGTTATATTAGTGAAATACAAGTGTCTAAGAAAATGTATTTTCCGAATGAATAGTAATTACCACTATATAGTATCAATAAATTGTTGAAGTAAATCAGGTAGGGAACTTGAGAACAGTTAACTTGGATTTTCAAAAAAAACAAATTTGGTTATCATCAATATATTTGAAGTGTGATTAGTAGTGAAATCCAGAACATATATGTGTGATGTCGTATTCAGTTGGTTGCCTCCAAATACCTTGGTACGGCTGAGAGTGGGGAGAGTTTGCTCTTCTT